GGAGGGGGCCAGCAGTCTGTGAAACACCTGGTCAAAGAGGTAACGACAAAACTCCCCACTCCCCAGCTGCCTCTTGGTCTGAGCTTACGTTGTTCGGGGCAGAGGGAAGACAGACAAGTATCCCATACTAAAATGACATCTTACGTTATGAGTGTTGGTTTTGTTTTGTTGCTTGGACTTTCTTTTTTTATATAATTGATTTAGACAACGTAGTAGAACTGATGTAGATAATTTAGTTGATTTTGTAATATTTGTCACTGGTGGGAGCATGCTAGTACAACATTCTGTATTGCAAGTATATGTTTATTTTTGCTTTAAGCAAAACTTGTAAGCATTCAGCTTTTTAAGACCTCACAGTATAAAGTGATGAAGTAATTAAAAGAGCCAAGATGAAACTGGCTAAACTAGATAAACTATTATTTTTTGGCACTGCTGATCAAAAAGACAGTAATAACTGAAAAAAGAGAGAGGAAGAAAGAGGAATGTTTAGAGATCCATGCTATAAAGTAAGCAGGTCTAAAGGAAAAGGTCATGTTACAATTTCTAGTTTGGGAGTCTAACAGATGATAGGAGGAGGCATTCAAGGGAGAGGATAAACTTAATGCCACCCACATGCTCCTTTTATGGTGACACACAGCTTATAAAACAATGATTTTGGTGCTTCTGTATCAACACTGTGGATAGGTATTTGGCTTACACTGTGTTTCAGGTTACTGATAACATCTCGATTCAATTAATGCCTAAATTTAATTACATTTATAAAACCATTGGCAGCAAGTTTGAGGAACTAATGTGCTGCTGGGTTGCTAGTGGATTATCAAAATGGTTGACCGCTTTTGCATTTTGTATCTAATTAGTGTTGGGTTTTTATTTAAAATTCAATAGATTGATATGTTGCTGAAAGAGTACTTGCTTTCTGGAGATGTATTGGAAGCAGAACGCTGCCTTCAGGAACTGGAAGTACCCCATTTTCACCATGAACTTGTATATGAAGTAAGGAGAAATCACAGTCCCTTTAATAATTGTTGTTGTTTTGATGTGGGCATGCAAATAATATAACTGGCATGTGAAGCTTAGGTTGCTTGTTCTGTTATTTGAATAACTAAACTGTTTAATGTAAAGTTCAAGGTTTGTGTGCTCATTTCTGTGTGCATTGTGCAATAAGTAAACTGCTGCTGACTCTGGGAAGATTCCTAAGTAATTTCTGGGGATTAAATAGTTGAATTCAGTTTATTATAAATTCCTGAAAATAAGATCTCAGTTTATTTTCTGCTGAGGAATAGCAACAAAGAAAAACCTCCCATGCTTTGTTTTGGTGTTTATTTCCTTCTAGTTTCAGATATCTGGGTATTCTAATGGGTGTTACCTGTTTTTTTTAAATTATAGAGCTTCTTTTTTCAGGGTGGGATTGTTTCACCCAGCACATTTGTAAAAGCTTGCATATTTCAGACCAGCCTATATGGGAGACTGTTCCCATTTGTACTCTTTTATCTGCCAAATTGGGAAATGGTTGTTTACCAATAAAGCTGAACACCCACAATCTACAAAATTTCCATTTCAGTCAATGGACTTGTTATAGAAAATTCCTTCACAATAGAACTAGAGAATCATTTCAGTTGATGGGGGTTGTGCAATATTGTAGAATCTAAACTTCTGAGTCCTCCTAAAATCACAGATAAGAAACCCCTATGGATACAAAATTAAAACCCCATGGATATAAAATTAATTTCACAGAATTAATTAATTACCATCTGTATTTCAGCAGCCATATGGATATAGTCATGTAGTGGTGAAACATGAGAGAGAAAGGCAATGCTTTTCACTATGTCTAGTCCTTTCTGGTTTTGCATACCTTTTATCTTATCCAAAGAATTTTGATTTGTTTTTCTTTTATAACAACAACAATAATAAATACTACTACTACTACTAATAATAATAGTAAAAAAACTGAAATTGTGAGTGCATGTAGCAAATGGGCTTTTTCCCTCAGAAAATTCATAACACATTCACTCCTTTCTGTACCTCATATGGTCACACACCTTGTACCTGAGCCAGTGTTTTCATTTTAGTCAAAACTCTTGCATTATTTGTTTTTAGGCCATTGTACTAGTTTTGGAGTCAACTGGAGAAAAGACATTTAAAATGATACTGGATTTGCTGAAAACTCTGTGGAAGTCTTCTGTCATTACTGTGGATCAAATGAAAAGAGTATGTGTGGCATCTAGAGAAGTTTGTATAAGATCTTCCAAAATTTTCAGCTGTCTTTATGCAGTTAAATGGTTAAAACTAATAATCTAAAATGGTGAAATATTGCTTCATCTTTTAAATGTGTCTTTTTATCTGGTAATTATTTGTAACTGAAGTAGTACAATAAAGGCTATCTAATTGCAAATGTATGGAGCAGTATAGAAAAATAAATATTTTGCACAGTTGGAACCATCTGTGACTTTACTTCTCAGGATGAGTATAGGACAGCAATTCTGTCCCAGGACAGACTGGGAACCACACCAACATTTCCATACTTACATCTGTGTTGTTGGTGGGAAGTGCTGAAGTCATCTCTGGTTGTCCCCAGTCTCCCCTCTGTAGCATAAACTTGTGTTGATCATTTCTGGCCACATTTTGTTCACTTACATGGAAGACATTAATTTTCTTCCCATGTTACTACCCTTGTAGCAACAGGCAGGTTAACATACAGGTTTCATAGTGTCTGGATTTCTGACTTCTAAAGAAGTTAAAAGTTCAGGTTGTGTTTTTATGTAGATAGATACTTGTATAGTGCCATGGTATGGGCTGATATTATATACCTTATCTCTCTACTGACTTGGAGCTGCAATGCTTTAGGTTTGTAAAACCATTTAAAAAAAATAAATCCTGTGGAATGCAGAAGGGTATTTAAAAACACTGTAATAAAATAATAGAATAACCTGATGATTATTTGAATCCTTACACTGCAGGGCTATGAACGGGTTTACTGTGAAATCCCAGACATTAACCTGGATGTGCCACACTCCTATTCAGTGCTGGAGCGCTTTGTAGAGGAATGCTTTCAGGCTGGAATCATCTCCAAACCCCTGAGAGACCTCTGCCCTTCAAGGTACTTGTTTCATTGTAGCTAGGCAAAGGCACTGTTTTCATTCCTATCATAGGTCACAGAAAGCAGCATCTTGGGACCAAAGTGTTACTGATTGGAGGTGGAAACTGGAGGATGGACCAGCAGCTGGACTGGTAAAACGTGTATTAAGAAGCTGCATTGATGTGAAACCTGTTGAGGCTGGGATAAGGAAAGGTAGCCTCCTGTGAATGCCAGGCAGCACCCCTCAGTGCTCCCCACAGGATAAAAGCTGCCTCTCCATTTCCTGATTTTCTTGGTAGAAATTGGTGGAGCACCAAGCTGGAAGATCCTGGTGTCACAATGGTCCGTGTAGGTGACAGCGGAAAACTGTCAGCTATACTGGGGAAATGAAAAAAAATCCTTTAAAAAATGGTTTAAACTTACCAAAGAGTGCGAGTAGAGTTCTAAGATGAGAGAACCAGTCCTAATATTTATATAAAAAGAAACAGGATAATCTCTGCACACCCCATTCCTCATATCTGTCCTGTGATTTGTGTAATTTTTTTTTTTTGGGTATGGCTTGGTTACTCGTAGCATAAATAATGCTGTGTGAACTGTACCTAATCAGTATGCTGTTACCTCCTTACTGATCACAAAACAGTTAAGATGTTTCATTTCCTCTCGGGAATATATGTTACTTTTAAAATAGGATGTTAATACTATTATTCACAGTTTTATGCATTTGAAATAGTATTTATTTGACAGGTCATTCCTATTTTGGGTGTTTTGTTAGAGTTCTTATATGTGATAAATTTGGATCTTGGAATAGCATCTTTATCAAGAACAGCCTCCATTTGTGGACTTTACGCTTAAAACTCTGTGTGCGTTGGTATCAAATGTTTTGCAGGTTTGGGTGTGTGGGAGGATAGAGAGTCATCACTGCATCAAAAGCTTGATTATACTTTGGCTACCAGTTATATGTTGAGAGGCATTTTTGGTTTGTGTACTTCAGTTTTAAGTAGAAACCCCCCATTTCTATGTTTCCAAACCAGCATTTTTAAGCAGCTGAGCTGACACTGTGATCGCTGCTAACCCTGCTGAACTCGCGCTTTATTTTTGATTTCCAAGATCCGGGAGAAGATTCTTCTCACTGGTAAAAAACAAGCAGTACTACTCTGAATTACTGAAAAGGGACTTTCTACTTTCTTATAGGGGCAGGAAGCGTTTTGTGAGTGAAGGAGACGGAGGTCGTCTGAAGCTGGAAAGCTACTGAATGTGAGACCTGCCTCCTGAAGCCTTACAAGCTGGAAGGGAACATAGCTCGCTGTCGATCTACACAACACGCATGCTCCTCTGGTGTGTGTATGGATACACATCTAGGACAGACCAAATTCAAGAGTTGCTTAGCACAGTTGGTATTTTTTTAAGAGCACATGTTTTGGGTACAAATTGTTTTCTTTTTTTTTTTAATAGTTTTGTAAATTTCAGGAAGAAGTGTTCTTTCTTTGGGCATATGGTAGAACAACTAGCCACTCTGCTGTGGTGGTGCCTTGAAATAAGCTATCTCTGTATGTGCCATGTTTATGACCTAATCATTCCACGTGTGCATCAATGTCTGACTGCCGCTCGCTCTTTCCAGGACAGTGCTGTCATCATAAAAATCACTGGTTTATACAAAGCTTTATTATAGAAGGGTCAAGTTAAGCTGCTGTGATCCCATTTTCATTGCTGCTAAAGAAATACTGTGCTTTGGGAGTTAAAAAAAATTAGCAGTTTGTTTTAAAGAGCCCAAGAAAATACAGCTGGGTGACAAGACAAATTCATCTGTTTCAGGGGAGAACACTGGTTGGTTTCAGCCCCCATGTACCAAACTTGTCTTTTTTTTTATGTAACTGGAAAAGTGAAAAGTTCTGGTAAAACATATTAAAGATATTTTTTGTGAAGCTCTTGTTTCCTTTTTATTTATTTTAAACGGAATAAATTAAGCAGTACATCCAATGCTGCCCTTTGGTATTGCAATCAGGAGGAGAGCACAGAATAATTAAGCTCATGGCAAGTGAGTATTTACGAGATCTGTTTTGGAAAACACAACTGACTTGCGTAGGAGTGTCCAGGCTGGCACAGATACTGTGACTGTGTCTTTGCAGCTTCGTGAAGCCGTTCCTCAAGAACAAGATGGATCTAAGGATGACTCGCTTACAGGAACTCAGTAGAGGCTCTCCATTGTTTTTCAGTTTCACGTTCAGATTTCAGGTGTTCTGAAATGCTGGGAATAGCCATGCCAGGGCCGGGAACTCGCTGTGCTCTAGGAGCCAAGCGGATCGTGCTCGAGCGGGTCTGGTAAACCCGGCTTGGAGCAGGGTGTGTGGAACTCGCCTCCTCCCGCTTTCCGAGGGGTTCTGGTTCTCTAAATTCGCGTTTAAACAGCGCCAGGGCAGCGACCAGCGCAGCTTCTGCACCAGCAGCGCCCGACGCGCGGCCCGCCCGCCCCGCGGTACCTCCGATCGCGGGCGCCGGGCACGGCCCGCCCCGCTACGGCCGGGCCGGCGCGGCCCCCGCGGGCGGCGGCGGGGCCGCCTCGGGCGGCGGGGCCGCCTCCAGCGCCGCCCTCTGCAGCTTCTCCAGCTTCTCCAGCGACACCGACTTGAGGGGCAGGATCTTGGGCTTGCACAGCACCAGCGCTGCCGTGTCCTCCACCGACAGCTGCCCTGCAGAGGGAGAGAAAGGCCGTGAGCGAGTGGCGGGCCGGGCGGGCAGCGCCGGGCGGTGCCGGCCGCCGGTACCTTGCTTGGGCAGCACCTCCCGGAGCGCTCCCGTCCCCTCCGGCATGGCGGCTCCGGCCGGCACCGCCCCCGGGCACAACTACAGCTCCCAGCTGGCACTGCGCGGCGCCGCGCCCACGCACCCCGCTCGTGCCGCCCCGGTGCGTGCTGGGAGCGGTAGGCCTGACGGGGCTCCGGCTGCCTCAATGCGCGCTGGGAGTTGTAGTCCTTGGCGTGGCGCTGCGCCGGGGCCGCTGCGGGCGCGGCGGGAGCGGCTCCCCCGCTCCCCCGGGGCTGTCCCGGTCCCGGGATTCCGGGATGCCGCTCCCCGCCTCAGCTGCGCCGGGCTCTGCTCTGAGGCGGAGCCGTCCCACCTGCGCGGGCCTGCCCGGCCCGGCGAGCCGCTGCCTGCCCGCCTGCCAGGGCCCGCCGCTGAACTCAGGCTTTGAGGCGCTTTTATGGTTTATTTTCTGCTTCTGTAAATAAAATCCCCAGCAGACACCGTCCAGCAGACGGGCGTGGCCAGGGCGTACGCGTCCCGGTTTTCGTTTCCAGGCAGCGCCTCGGGATCCGCGCTGTGAATCACGCTGCTGTTTGACATGTAAACAGCAGCAAAGCCGCTGTCTTTCTAAACTCTGGGAGCTCAAATGTCGCCGAACCTGATGGGCCAGTGCGCCGGGATCCCCACAGGGGTCCGCCTGTTGCAGGATCTTTGCACCGGGAGCGGCTTCCCTGGGAAACCCCCGCGGGGAGCCGCGTGTGACCCGGGAGGGGCGAGAGGGGTTCACCTGTCCTGTGCTTGGCCATGCCTCGGCAAGCCCCGATTCCGGGATGTGTTGCAATTTTAGAGTTTGCTAATGAGCTTGCCTGTGTGCCCTGCACACCCTGTGTGCCTGGGGATGGCAGCTCGGGCTGGTAATCCTGCTAACCTGGCCTTGGCAGGCGGGGACGCTCCTTTCAGTGTTCTGGGATTGAGATCTGCCTCCTTGCTATGCACAGGGGTGGCCGCGGATTACTAAAATGAGGGGGGAAATCATCTTTGCTAGCAATTGTTTTCCATTCTGCCTTGGTGATGGCTGTCTGCGTGCTTCCTTCCCTCTGCTAACTCAGGTGGGACCTGTCAGCTGTGGGATCCAAGGTTTGCTGGGAGAGTAGTGCTAAAACTTTTAACTTCCAGTAAGCAGCACTCCTCTGACAGTTATTTAAAGCCTCTGTCTGTATTGTTCCAGAACTATTTCCTTTTTCCTCTAAGCAACCTAGAGTAGGAAGCTGACAATCCCTCAGGTAGCCTGGTTCCACCTCGCTGGAAGCCTCCCCTGATGTTGGGTTGGAGGCCAGCAGAAGCCACAGAGGTGGGAGCAGGGCTCCTCCTCCCTGCCTTTTGTGGAGATGCCAAAGGTAACTCCTGGGCTGCTCCCGGGCAGCACAGAAAATGGCCCTTTTTGGCCTTCCTCACATATTCCACTTTCAGGTCAGAATATTGGCGTTGGTGAGGCTGTAAAATGGATGTGCTTGCTGGGGACATCCTTCTTTACCCTTTGAAGTGCTCAGAAGCATTCCCACCAATTTCAGTGAGAAAAGTTCCTTTGTCTGATGTGCTTTTCCATGTGCCAATCACTATTTTGTGCCGACTGGAGGGTAAAGGACAAGGCACTGCTTTATGATGGATGTTTTTACACCAGGGCATTTTAAACATGCAATTTGCAGATCAGTAATTTGTAGTTGTTTGTCAGTTTGTTCAGTTTGTTTGTAAGAACCGATCCAGCATCTTAGATATGGCCAAGGCTAAAAATGAATATAAAAGATACCCAGTTATGACTGAAAATTTTGCACTATGAAAGCAGGAGGTTTTCCTGTGGTAACAAATACGGCCTACAGAGCAACAGAAATGAGGTGAAAGCAAGATGTTGAAATCAAACTGTAGGCCAGGTTTTGTGTCAGTGTCCTTCACAGTGCCAATGGCCCCCTGGAGTCCAGCATTATGTGAACACTTGCATTTGGAGCCCATCTCAGTTGTGCAGGGAATCACTTTCCAAAAGCAGTTTTCCTGCCAACAGGGTTTGTTTGCTTGGTGATAAGAAACAATGGTCAGCTCAGTTTATTGCTTGAGCATTTTAGTGACTGAGAAGTCTGGCATCCTGTACTAGATCCATTTTCTTAGCTACTCAAATGCCATCTTGGCAGCCTATCTAGGAAGCTGATAGCACTGGGACAGGCGTGATTGTGGAGGTTGTTTTCAACAGTTTCTAGTAAGTCTGTTTTTAATATACCTCCTTCCTTTTTTTCCTTTCCTGGGAAAAAAACTCATAGTTACCACCTTCATGACTGGGAAGTCTGGATGATGAGCAAGAGGAGGGAGGCATGGGCATGCAGCTTAATATCCTACTTTTCAAAGTGCCTTAAAAACAGGACTGGCTTTAGTTTTGAGTGAGGCTAGTATTTATTCATAGTTATACCCTATTTCTTGAACTTTTTGGCCTCTGGGGTTGACATGTGCTCAAGCACCCATTCATTTCTCTCACGGGCCTTTCCAGTTGCCAGGGATAGCTAGGAAGCTTTTGCCAAAACCCTTCCATCTGGGAAAAGCACCGTGCACTTGCAGTGGGACTGTGCTGAGTCAGTGCATTATCACAGGGCTGAAGAAGTCAGAACAAGACTGTCCTTGTGCCCAGGTCCCAGGTTGTGTCCCCATGGCACGAAGCTTCCCAGAGTCCTGAGACTCGACCTCGGGATGAAACCCAGTGTTGTTTGAGAAAGCCTAAGTGTGGTATCCATGGAGAGGACAACGTGCTCTAGGTTGTACATCCTTATTTTACTGATGTCACAAGCAAGTTATTCTTGTGCACTGCAGAGAGCATCACAGCCACAAAACCAGCAATAATTTTATAAATGATAAGCTTGTTTTCCTCCTCCTGTTCCCAGATACTCTGAGTGCAGCAGGCAGCAGAGATGTGCATTGCTGGAATCCAGAGGGTTTCGTAATTTGGCAGCCACTTGCTGAAAGCCCTGCAGATACAAAACAACACTTATTTCAAGTCTTGAGAAACATCTCCTACTAAGTAGAAGAAAAAAGCATTTAGGTGAAGCAATGTTGCCAGTCCCATTTGTTTATGAGGCTTGGGTTTTGTCTTTATACATTTTAAATGCTTTTTATTTTCCTTCTGCTCTTTAAGCCTTTCAAGTTCATGTTTTCCATATGACAAGAAAGTCTGGAATCAAGTCCTTACTTTTAAAAGCAAAAATATGGTTCAGAGTTCTGTATAATCATGCAGCTCCAGACATGGAGTGTTTAAAAATAAAGCCACTTTGATGAGAACTACCCATCTTGAAGGTGACTTTCTGTTCTAAGTAAATACTTTGTTGTCAGTTTAAGAAGCTTTTAACAGCACCTGATCTGTGTTTGCTTTACACTTGGATCTCTCGCTTTTTTCTTCTTTTCTAAAATTCTAGAGCTTGTTTCACCTCTCTGTGTGCTGATGAGATCAGAAATGTAGTGTGGCAGCCTTTGGTGAACAATGCATCCCTGTGCTTTCAGAAATACACCCGCAGATTTCATGCCATGGTCCCTGAAGCTGCTGAGTGGTACCAAGGGACACAGAGCCCAGCTTCAGAGTGAGGAGGAGGAGGAGGAAGGTGGTTTGGGTTTACTGGGTGGGGTGAGGCAAGGAACAGAAAGCCTGGCATGGCTCCCTGCAGGAATCCCAAATGCCTTCAGAGCCTGAAGCTTGATCGCTTGGTGTTTAACCCAGTCCTTGTTTTTGAAAGGAAGTTGACAGACTTTTCTTTTTTTATAGTTGAGCTTTCTGAGTATATTTTAAGTTTGTTGTTAGTTTGATGCAGTTTGATACAGATGCTCAAGCTGTATGCAAAAGGCAAGGAGACGTGCCTGAAAATGCATTATCCAAGGGACACAGAAACAGCTTTTTGACAGGCTGCTCTTCCTGCTAACACCTGGTAATGCAGAGACCTGGCTCCATGTAAGTCCCAGACTGAGCTCCTAAGCCAAATGCTCCACACTGGCATTTCTAGGAGGTTTCTGCTCTACTTGTGTGGTTTGAATCGCTTAAGTCTTTGGCCTCATGCCCTGGAGTGCCAGCAGAGGCTTGCTGTAATTGCCCGTAAGTGCACCGTCTGTCAGATTATTGTTTAATTATTCCAGCTTCTCACCACCACACACTGCTCAGTGTCTCTCTTGCTATCTTTATTTAATTGAGTGGAAGAAATTCGAGACTTTTGCTTCTCTTACATCACTTTGTTTTCACCCATCCTCACTGCATCCTACCATGAAGTCCCACCTTTTGTTTGCAGAAGTCAGTCTTCTATATAGAAAAAAAAACTATTGTCAATATCTCAAGCATATGTTAGAAAGAGAATCAATATTTTAACACATGGTAAAGTCAAACCATAAATCTCTCAACACAGTGAAATGATTGTATTATTCTCCCTTGAAACACTGCTCCTCCCCCTGAGAAACAAGAGAGGGAAAGAAAACTCTTGGATAACCAAGCCCTTGTTCTCACAATGCAGGACTGTTCTTAGCCCTTTGCTCTGTGTCACTCCTTCCTCTTCAAGATCCATCTTTCCCCAGCCCATCCCTGTTCAACTGTTCCAGAGTATTACTGGGATATCAGCTCTTTTCCCAAGATCAGCTCGTGATGACCAGTTCCACTGCCTACCTGCTGCCATTTCAAACATCTCTGTGCTTCCTCCCACCCTTGCAACCAGGTTCTTACTAATGTGTGTTGAAAAATAATCTTTCTGAGCTCTCTCTGACATGCTCGTCTGTATGGCCTATAAAAAAACCTGGCAGCACTCTGACTGCTTTTCTTCTCTCATGCCCCCTGTGCCTGTGACACATACGTGTCCTTTTTCTGGTCTTACACTTGGCTTTCAGCCTCTGAATCCAAACACTCTTCTTGTACAGCCCCCACACAAAGATCAAGGCTCTCAATAATACTAAATGTTAGGGTTGCCAGCACTCACTCTGCTCTAGTTTTCATGGCTCTGGACAGAAGGAGTTTCACCTTTTGGAAGATCTGTCTGCACCTGAATGATTTAGTTTTCAGGGTTTCCTTTAGAAA